TGTCAGAGTCATGTTGTGCCCAAAGGGAGGTCTCAGCACGCAGAGGAAGGGCGAGAAATGGGCAGCTCCTGGCAAGAACAGGGGCCACGTGCACACAGGGCTGGGCGGAACCTGCTCGAAGCAGGTCCCAGCCTCTCTCTCTGACTTCCTGTAGCGATGCTGCTGACCTGGTGGTGCAAGGGAAAGGGAAATTCGAGGAGCTCATGGTTTGTTCCCACGAGATTGCAGCCAGCACAGCACAACTGGTGGCAGCCTCCAAGGTAGGAGCCCTGGGGGTGACTGTTCAATGGTTTAGCTGCTCCCTTGAGCGCTACCAGCTCCACAAGTGCTTCCTAGCGGAGACGCAGCTGAGCCCAGGAGGACGTTGCCCACAGGAGGAGGAGGGGATCCTGTCCCGCTCAGCCCTGGAGGTCGCCCCGGCAGGGCCATGTCCCACGCTGGGCTCCCCGGGCCGGGAGGGACACGGGGCTGCGGCAGAGCCCAGAGCGGGACTGCGGGAGCGGGGCCGGCCCAGCTGGAGAGGAGCTGGCCCAGAGGGAGCTCGTGGGGGCAGCAGCACCGCGAGGGAGGGAGGACAGGACGGGACGGGCCCTTCTCAGCGGTGGCAGCGACAGGGCCGGAGGCAACGGCCGCACGCTGAAACACGGGAAGCTCTGCCTGAATTTGAGGAGAAACTTGTTGGCTGTGAGGGTGACAGGCAGGGAACAGGTTGTTGTGGGCGCCATGGAGTCTCCAGCTCTGAGGGACCCAACACCTGCCCGGACGCAGTCCTTTGCCCTGTGCTCCAAGGCACCTGCTGGAGCAGCTGCTCTTGCAGAGGCCCTGCCACCCTGTCCTGCCCTGCAGCAGAGCGGCAGCGCTGGGAAGGGGAGCGAGGCGGGTATGAAGGAGTCCGCAGGCCGGTTCCTTTAAAAACTTGTCCTTTATTAGTCTGTTTGGAAGCAGTTTTCCCTCTTGATCCCATGTCCCATCCCAGTTATATCAAAGTGAGTAACATGAAGGGAGGCGAATCCTTCCCGGCACCCGCAGCTCCCCGGGACACCCCACGCTGGGACGAGGGGAGCACCGGGGTGGGGTGGGCGCGCGGAGACGCATCCCGTCGGCACCAAGGGGGACACTGGG